CCAACAACTCCTGAGTGCCCCTCTGCTTTAACTCGACCACCTTTCCTCGGCGTTTCTAACTCCCAAATATTCCCTCTAGGTTCTTGGTTGCGTCTCCTGTCGAAGAGCTGAAGACAGTCAACAATTCAAACCTCTTTCTCTCGTTTTTAAAGTGTTTTCCGTATTTACAGCTAGCAGTTGAATGATTATTTCCCTCCAATTAATAAAAGCAATAGTTCGATAAAGCGCTTCAAGACGTAATTCTCCAGCTGTTAACATACTTCACTGCTCTCTCGGCCACCCTTCTCCACCATACCTTTGGAACAGCTGCGGGCTAGCGGTCAAGTCCGCTCAATGTCGGCTCTTGCCTTAGCGGCTCGGGAAAGCCCAGCGCTGAGCGTACCGCCGTGGTGCCGGAGCCGTCGAACCGAGCTGAGCCGATGGGAATCCCGCCCCGCAGCCCTCGGCCCAAGCGAAGGGTGCGGAGCCCGCAACCACAGGCGCCCAGCACCCTCTGGCAAGCTCTATTCGCCGTTCACCATGGTGTGCGTGGGTAACGCAGAGGAACTCGAATGCGAAGGTCCTCTGGAGAGTTCAAGAGAAGTATTTAAGAGCGAGAAACAATCCAAAGTGAAAGATCTAATGGTCAAAAATACACTCCTTATCCGAGAAAAAAAATATTTTCTGAGTATCATTTTATTAGTCACTGGAAGAATAAGCTATTTTCAAGTAAACTAGGTCGCTAGTTTTTATTATTATTTTTTTAATAGGAAACCTCTCCGACAGAGCCAGGAGGAGAGGAGCTATCACCGAAGTAGAGCCGTACACGGCTCCGTGCCCCGGGAGCAGATTGCCCCGGCAGTCGCGCTCCGTGCCCGCATCTCCGTGCCCCGCCCGCCCCGTCCGGGAGCCTTCTTCGAGCCCGTGGCCGGGCGAGCCCTTGGGATGAGTCCTGCCCGGAGGGGGAGGCGCCGCCGTCACCAGCTCCAGGAGACGACGGCGGGATGCGCTAAGTGCTGGTACGCGGGGCAGACGCCGAGGGTAGGCGGGCAGGCCGGGTAGCCCTGCACGGCGAGGGCGGCCTGGGCGCTGCAGCCCGCCAGCGCGCAGCCCAGCTTGGGGCGGGAGGCGGCTGGCGAGGAACTGGCGGGGAAGCTCCGGCAGGGCTCCCCGTCCCTCAGTAGCACCGGCACCGGCATCACCACCCGGCGCAGCAGGGCAGGCGGGCGCGGAGGAGGAGGACTGCCGGGGCCCTCACTCCGTGCCCTTTTCATCTTGTAGCGGTGGTTTTGGAACCAGATTTTCACCTGCGTGGGGGTGAGGCTGAGCAGGCGGGCCAGCTGCTCCCGCTCCGGCGCCGAGAGGTACCGCTGCTGCCGGAACCGGCGCTCTAGCTCCAGCGTTTGAGCTTTGGAGAACAGCACTCTTCTCTTCTTCTTCTTCTCGGCCTCCGAGCCGCGGGCTGGGAGTGACCTCTGCGTGGAGTCGGGCAGGCTCAGCTCCGGGCCGCTCTCGTCGGAAGCTGGGGACAGCGAGGGGTTAGAGAGAGAGGCCGCCGGGCAGAATACGGGCCGCCGAGGCCGAGCGCATCACCTCCTGCGGGGAGAGCGCGGGGTTTACCGGAACTCAGAGGGTGTGCCGGGCCCAACCTGGGTAAGGGGAGTCGTAGCCACGGGACGGAAAGGGCCGGACCCACGACACGTCCCCGCAGGCACCCCTTCCTCGCCTTGCGCGGGTGCCAGCAGCGGCACGGGGCTAGCACCGGGCTACCAAATGTGCGCACTTTCCTCCAGCCACGACTACCTTAACGCGGAGCTTATCCCGATGGGGTTCCTGCTTCCGCCTGAAGCAGAGACTCGCCCCCTCACCTCTGTTTAAAAGCATCTGTATCTGCCGCGCAGTTTGGGATAAGTGCCGCAGCGCTGGGCTGAGCGAAGGCTGCTCGCCGCGGTGGGAAGCGCGTGGGCATCCACGGCTGCGGCCGCAGCGCTGCATGGCAGCCTGCGTGCTGCCTTCCGCGCTGCGGGGGGATCCGAACCCCTCCAGTACAAACAGGCGGATGCCTGCAACACTGAAACGGGAGGAAGGAATCCGGGAGCGAGGCTAAATGGTAACTGCAAAGAGACGGGAGGATACAGCCCGAGGCTAAGCTTTCTGCCATAGCCTTGCTCACACAGAGGGGAAAAAAAAATAATCTTTTCTCTCACAAGCTCGTGGCTGGGATCCTCCTGCTGCTTGGTCCTTGTAGTTCAATAATATCCTATATAATTCCCAGCCTGGATCCCCCCGGCGCTGCAGGCTACACGCGCTGGCAGTTCGCTTCTTCGCATCTTCCCCAGAAGAACGGGGAACAAACACATGATAGCTGCAAGGAGATGGCGAGTTTCTGTCCGTAGTATACTCACAGGGATAGTGATTTCTGTCCGTCTCTATCCAGCCACGATATGGAGAGCCGCTGTATTTTTCCGCCGAATGCTGGTGGTGGTGGTGGTCAGAAGCTTGCTTCATGCTATGCGCATCCTGTTCTGGTAAATCCAAGATGCTCCTCACTGTAAAACTGATCCTGCCAGATGTGGCCATGGTAGGGTGTGCACACTCCCCAAAAATATCTTCCCGAAGTCCCAAACCCCCTCCCTTAAAGCCTCGAGGAAAGGACTGCGTAGTTACTGGGGAATCTCTCGGCTCGAGAGGAGCCCTTCCATCGCCACTCAACCCCAAATATTAGTGTCGTTTACAGAGGTGTCCTGTTTATATAAACAGTCCTCCCCACTGCAAACACTGCCCGCTTTCAAACCGTCCCTGTCTATAGGATGCTAAGTACCTGAATTAGTCAAGTGCTAAAGCCCTAATGGGAGTAGGTGTAACCCCCCTCCCGCCACCCCCATGGGAGAATAACCCGTTACCTCCCAAAGACAGCAGGAAACAGGCTTCATCATTACATATTCTGTCTGATTAGCCAAAAGTGGGGACAGATAATGGTAATTGTTAGCAGTGAATAACATCTTGGGTGGCATGCGGATGACCAACAACCACCCCCCTCCACCCGCCACCAAAGCCACCAGCGTCCCTTCTATCCCCAGACAAAGTGAATCCTCCCAGGACATCCGCAGAGCCTGCCGAGAGCCCCCTCCTAGCTTCTCCTTCTTTATTCTCCCCCCGCTCCCCAACCCCCCTTCTTTTCCCTATCTTTAAACCTGGCAGGAATTTCACTCGCTATTTGTTTTATTTTCTCGGGCCGTTCATCGCTCTCTCTCTTCGCCAGTGGCAGCGTTCCTACCCTTAGCCCCTACCGGGGCTTTCACACCTCCGCGGAAAGGCTGCTGCGTGCGAACGTTCTGGGGACTGTTGTGCTATATCTCCTGTGCATGGTGTGGCTGTAAGGTTTTTTTCCTCGGGAACAGCGATGGGGTGACCGTGGCTGGGTACACAGGGGTAACTCGACACACTTGCTTCATGGGAAGGAGAAGTAGGGGAGATTTTATTAACATCATTTTGCTCTGTGATTAACCCAAAGGCGATGTGTGTAAGGTGTTGCAGTGACTCCAGATGGGAGAGAAGGAGAAAAGCTCAGACGCGGCAGCGCCTTTGTTTGTTTATTCACATCCCCCCTAGCTCTGCTTCACCTGCGGAGAGCCCCAGCACTTGTCCGGATCCGGGGCAGTGGCCGTCGGCTAGATGCAGCCCCAGCGGCATCTCCGTTTCCCCTCGCAGCCTCTCATTGCGGAGCTGCAGTCTGGGTTTGCCTGGCTTCCGTGAGACTCACAAACCGACACAAAGCCACCAAGCTTCGCCAGCCGCTCAAAGGCCGAGCACAGCGCAGGGCTTGCTTCCTAGGCGCATGGCAGGGACCGGGGGACCGACAGCCGCGACCTGTTTCGGCTTCGTCCAGGATGCGCAGCGAGGGGAAGAAACATGGGAGGAGAGGGGACATATGAGCTCTGTCGCTCTTGAACGCCGCTCAACTGCACACAATGTGGCCCCGTCGGGTAAATTGCGTGAAATCCTGCGCCTCGAAAGAGCAATCTAGAGGCACATGCAGAAATGGCTCTAGCCGGCTGCTTTGTTGGTTCAGATCTCCCTGTCCAAACAGACACCTCTAACCCATTGTGCTCAGATTTTATTTATCCATCCCCAGCTTCGCCCCTCTGCCTCCTGCCGTCCCTCCCCGCCTGGCTCCGTGCAGCGCTTCGCGAAACAGCTCCACTCCACGGGAAATGGGAGCTGGGCGATAACGGTGGTGAGGGACAAGATTTATATCGTGGAGATCTGTGGCGGAGATGAAAACAGGGCACCGGTCTCCATTTGGCCATCTTCCCGCATATTTTCCCGGGACCGGCCACGCTCCATATAAACCATTCCCAGGCCGAGATTGCCGCAGCCACCTATCAAGCGTGCGGGTGACAGTAGTTATCTTCCTCGCTCCGAGCGCTGCCTCCCAGCCGTCCTGGGTGGTCGGAGCGAGGGGAGCACAAATACATGCCAACTGCTAGGCCGTGAACAAAGGGGAAATGTAGCCCTATGTCCCGGACCTGTTGGAAGCATTTGTTCCAGTCAAGATTTTGCATTTGTTCAGATCTGGAATAATAGGTGATTGACGCCTTCCCACAATGTGCTTTAACTCTCCGGGATAAATCGGAGCTTGTTCCTTGTTGTCATGGTTTTCAATAGGGTTCAATGGGATTGAACCACTATCGACTCTGCTTTACGTCTCCGGCAGCCCCGTCCATACAAATTTATTAGTTATGTCTTTTTAAATAAGATTAAATAGAAGCGACGTGGCCGCGCTCCGCCGAGCTGCTCCTCCCGCATCGCTGTGGCCCCCGGGCGCGGCTCCCGGTGTGTGACTCCCCGTGTCGCACCCGCGTCGCCCCGGGGGGGCTCGGTCCTGTCGCCCCGCCTGGCAGAACCGCGCTTACCTGCGGGCAGCGCACTGCCGCCCGCTTCCGGCCGCCCCGAAAGCAAAGGAGTCCGCAACGTGCTTATTAATAACTTGACCCCGCGGGCAAACACTTGCTGAGTGCCTGTGCTTGGAGCTGGATGCCGGGGGGGGCGGCAGGGGAGGGGCGGGCCGGGGGCTCGGAGCCGCAGAGCTGTACAGTACCGCGGTGGCTCTTACAAGGAGTTTGCTAAGGACTCTCCAAAGAAAGTGCAAAAACTCTGCAAGGAAAAAAAGTGGGGATGAGAGAAAGAGAGTCTACTTCAGTGACCTCTCTTAGCCTTTTAATCTATTTAACATCCTAAGCCCACACTGATGTGTAGAAATAAGTAAATGGTACTCTTCAAGCCTTAAGAGCTCTTCAGCATCAAATATTTGCACTTACTCTTAGAGTTTTTCTCAAATAGCACAAGACACATTCTCCCTGGACGAGCCGAGCTAACTAAATATACCTACGCATTGTTATCTGAGGGAAATAGTTCCCTTCAAAGGGAGAACGCAAGAACCTGAAATGTTTCATGTCTTGTTTTGCTTGGGACTGACTCCGTACTTGCCAGCCCCGGCTGCCCAACCCCATTTCGGGCTCTGCGGGTTCACGTTTCATCCCTTCGAGGGACGCTCTGACCGTGGGGACTCCCGGGGGCCGCAGCTTTTGACAGACGGCGCGCACGAGGATGAAGCCGGGATGGGCAGCGCCGGCTGCGCACCCCACGCGTGGGCCCGCGGAGGAGCGCTGCGTGTGCCCGTCCTTGCTAATTTCCCAGCCGCACTGTGCGTCCCAGAGAATGTCCCCTCTTCGTAGAGGATAAAGGAAAGAAAAAAGATTCTAAATCAATAATATTTATTTGTTACCACGTTTTTCACAGCGCGCTTTTCATCCCTCCCTGCCGCCAAGCGTGTTTGTTTGAGGCTCAAGAGAAACACAGCAGGAACAGCAGCGTTCTCCAGTCCGAGACGTGGCCCGGCCAGGCCCTTTTAAGGATATCCCGGAGCTCGCTCTGACCTTCCCCATTCCCCTCGGGGCTCTGCCGGGCTATAAACATCTGAGAAAACAGGAGCTTCCCCCGTTTTTTTGTTTGTTTGTTTGTCTGTTTGTTTGTTTTATTTTTGTTTGCTTGTTTGTTTTGAATGGGTTCATCTGTTGTGCTCAGTGGAGGATTCCAAAGCAGATTGATTAAACCGATATATGCGGGATGCTCAAATGCGATCAGGGAGAAGAGGGAAAAAATAGATAAAAGTATTTACGCCAATGAAAGCAGCATTCTGTTGCTGGTGGATGCAGTCGTAGCTTTATGGAGGAGCCCTCCATAGCGCTTAGCAGACAGCTGCGGGGCAGCACCAGCGCCCAGGGGAGGAGGCTGGGAGCCGCCCAGGCTGTGCTGCGAATGCGTGCGTTTCAGCCGCGGAAGCTGCCGGGGCAGCGCACCTCGGCGGTCTCACAGCCACGGGCCGTTGACGTCTGGGAAATGAGGCGTGGAAAGTGAGCGACTTGACAAATACCACAACAACACTTGGCAAATGAAACCTTGGCCTAGAGTTTTCTTTCTCTAGATACTGGATTTTAATATTTCAATCTATATTTCAATCAACGTCCATATGAGAGGATTCAAAACTCACTACTTTGGTTTTACTGAAAGGAAAACCTGATCTCACAGAATTCAATGGAAACTGTAGAATTTAAAATTCGAAATTAGAACAGGGAAGATGCTGTCCTTCCATAAAATCCTTTACTTCATTTTCTAATAATGAAAATTTTCATAGCTCGGAAGTTTTCTTTTGTAAGTGCCTGCAAATAATGTCTTTCCCATCAGTTTAACTTTGAATCTTACCATAAACTCTTGTATTTTAGCTTTGCAATCTACATTCTTTACAGTACATTTTATGATTAGGGCAATATTGTGGAAGGAGTATAATATTATCTACAGGAAGGATTGGTTTCTATTTATATATTGTATTTGTCCCTCTTCCCCAGAAGAATAATGTCAGTTACTTTTGGCCATAGGTTTTTCTGCTTTCTAATACGTCCTAGAAATCCACTTTTTTTTTTCATTACTTTTAAAAAAATTTTAATTTTTTTCCCCCAGCTTCGTTATTTCTTCTTTTCATTACCATTCCCCAGCCTAAATACAATGAACTCAACCAAAAACCTCAAGATTTTTTTTCATTTAATGGTTACTCTGAAGCCTCTAATTCTCTGGTACACCACCTTGTACTCCACCTAAATCATGTCTCTGCTATCAGTTTCCATTTGGTTTTGCAGAGCTTATTAATCAAAAATAAATAATAATTATTACATCCAATACATTAAAAACATGTTATCCAAGGCTTACACTTTCTCTGAAGCCCTCAATTTTCTGTTCTGCATTTAAACAAGAGGCATTACTCCTCGGAAGAGGGATTATCCGCAGCAGTGGACAGAGCTTTTCATTTGCTCCATGTGATCATCCCGGAGGAATTATTTTGCAAATGGACCACAAGCAAAGCAGACAGGGACAAACTCTCCCTGCCCTCCCTTGGATTGGGATGAGCTTGTGCTGTGCCTAGGTGGTGTGTCCTCACAATACAAGGAAGTAGAGTGGAGCTGTCACTTGCCCTGGCTTCCCTCTCCTTGGGGTGCCTGGGCCTCAGATCTTGGGAGAGGCTGAGGGAACAGTTCTCCTGCCAGCACACTGCCCTTGGGCAAGCAGGGAACACCTCCCAAGGTTACCTGGGTGGCACAGCAGCAGCAGTCCCACTGATACCATTCCTCTCCATTTTTATCTCGTTGCTGGGGCAGGGGCAGGCTCCAGGTGAAGGGCAAAAGACTTGCTCCCAAGTTCTGCGCCCACTGACAAAGTTGGAGCACACAGGTTCCTTTCTCCAGGGCAAGATGTCCATGCTCATGGTGAAGGAGGCATCTCTGGAATGCAGAGTAACAATGGCCTTGAAAGGGACAGGTCTACAGCAGAGGCTGCATTTTGTGCTTTGAACAGCTTATAAAGGTATATATTGTTCTTCAGTGTATGACTTTGGTTTGGACTGATATTTATTCATTACATTTTAAAGTAAAAAATAAATTCTAACAAGTATTCTCCATTGGTTAAATGCAATTAAATTCTAATACAAAATCTCTATGAGAATAAAATCAACAGCCAAAATTATAAATTTTAGAAAGTTCTCTTTGTCACT